ATTTGCCATTTCACAAAGTGGGCTTAAAACTCACATTTGTCAAATTATTACAATTCAAGTAATAAAGTCTTCATCCGCAGACATTCATGCAGTTAATCATTTAAGCACATAGCCTCATGGCAAGCAAGCTAAACATGGAAATATGCAATCACACTCATGCAATATGCTAAAGCGTAAACACTTACAGTGTACTCCGAGCCAAAACAGAAGCTAATTAGAAATCAGTGCATGATCCTAACTATTCAAGATGCTTAATGCAACACATGCAAAATGCGACTAATAGACTTGGCTATCTAAGGTGGCATATGAATGCAACGCTTGATAACATGCTGTGAAACACGTATTCAAGTAAGTGTATTGAAATACAATGCAGTTAGAATGATACGCCGAGCCCGATGCATGCAAGACAAATGAATGATGCACACATGCAAAGCATAAGGTATGCTAATTGAAATATGCCCTAAACTAACCATCAAAAGCTGATAAGTAAAAGGAAAAAAGAAGTAGGGTGAGAAGACATGCACACACACATGCACACTTATTACAACATTTGCCCTTTCGACGGAGGGTGCAAATAAGCTAAGCTAATCTAAGCTAAGCTAATCAATTAATCTAATAATCTAATTAGACTAATTATTACAGACCAATAAAGAAATAACTAAACTAAGCTACTTAATTAATACAACACTTAATTAATTAAATTACAAAATCAAATGCTAACTAACAAGTAAACAATAAACTAAGTTGCTCCAGCTCTGTTCGAAGAAGAAGAAGATGCATGCTTGGTTTTTGCGCCAAAAAGCTCTCCAATTTGCTCTTTAGAGGCTCTGTTTGCAGGGTGTCCTCAAGAACTTGCTGCTGAATCTTACCAAAACAAAGCTGGGGAATGCACCAGTGGCCTACCGGCCATGAGGAGCTGCTGTCGGCCAACAATGCAAGGGTGCCGGCCATCAATGTGGCACTGCCGGCCACTGGTGTGCTGTGACACCAAACTGTAACAGAGCACAAAACAGAGAAAATTGAGGGTCTCCCTAGGACATGCATGTGCTGTGCCACTCCTTACGATTTCAAAACATCAAGGGAGGGACACTATTGGATCCAAAACCATCAATCAAGCATGCAATGCATGATGGCCAAAGATCCAACTTGCACACATTTCAGTAAATGCAATGCAAACAAGACTCTAAATCCACTATCTCATCATGGATGATCAAAGGCAACGGAGACAAAGGGGATTGGCTCACTTTCATCACTTCAAGTATTGAAGTGGACCAATCCACCTTGTGTTCAACATAACGTCCGATTGAACACAATGCAATGCACATATACAACATGCTTATCTTGACATGTTAAGGTGGCATGCACAAGACTCTATCATGCAAACGCTCATGCACAACATACTAGAAAACTTAAGCATTAAAAGCTAGTGAAGAACACAACACTAGAATCATGCAAAGCAGTGCTCGATGGACTAAACCAACACCAAACAGACCCCATGCATCCCAAAACAGTGGCAAAATCCTGCTCGAAATGAAGCACCAAAAGCTACAACAACATGCTCATGCATTGGCTCGCAAGCTAGGCATTAAACACAACTCTCAAAAGCTCTCAAGGAATGAAAGAAGTAAGAACATGACACATGTATACGCTCTGAAATAACATGTTAAACGATGCCTAAACATGCAATCATCACAAACATAGCATATTGCAGTGCTCAAAACTCAAGACTAGCTAAGGTACTTGCACCATAGCCATATCAAGCAAGCCCCGAAGGACCAAGATTACTCAAAATAGTCCTAAGGCAGGCCAAAACAATGCTAGAAACATGATGAAGTGTAGCCAAAACAAGCTAGAATGGGAGGCATGAAGCATGATGCATGCAAGGCCAATAAGTGGGATTACACTACACATACCAAAACCAAGTAAGAGGTGACTCTACCAACAAAAATCAAAGTAGTAACATGGCAAAGTAACACCAAAAACACGCTGAGATGGTAGCCCCAAAGCTTAGGCAAGCATGCATACATATTGGCTTATAAGTGAAGCATAAGGCTCAACCCTAAAGCATAACAAAAGGGCGATAAATGCAAGAATATGGCAGAGGTATATGATCTGAAATAATATGCCAAATGATGCCATGCCATGCAAAAAACTCAAATATGACATACTGGAGGTCTCAAAGCTTAAGGCTAGCAAGGCCAATCACACTAGAGCCATACCAAGCAAGGCATGCACGACCAAAACCATTCAAATCTGACCTAAAGCATGTTAAATCAAAGCCAAAAATGTGCTGGAGAGAGCATACACATGCTAGATCAATAGGCTAAAACACCAAACATGCTAGGCTAGTAAACAAGATTGCACTACAAGTACATGAAACATGCAAGTGGCAACCAAATCAACCTAAAACAAAGTTATAACATGTTAAAATAAGGCCTAAAACATGCTGAGATAGAGCCTCAAGAAGGTAAAAAAACATGCCAAAGTGTTGAGCCAACAACACATGCAAACAAAGCACAAAAAGGGGGGGACCACCCCCATCCATTTTGGGTCTTAAAACCCACTTTCCACCACTGAAATTCCTCTGGAATTCAGTGATGGAAAGGCCAAACAAAGGTGAACTTAAGGGCCTAAACGGATGGCACCAAACCTAAGCAAATAAGGCACATAAGAGGGTAGAACATCCTCAACACCAAAGAGGCCTCAAACAACCATTCTAAGCACTTAAAAATAGAATTTTTTGTGGTTAACAACCAAGCCTAAAACAGCATGCAATGAGGGCTAGCATGGTATACAAAATATGCCTAAAAGAGGAACATGCTCACCCTTGAAGTACAACAGCAAGACAGGTCTTTTTCTGAGCCAAAACTAGCCTTTTGAGTTCCAAACACACCTCCAAAAGTCTCAGATCCAAGGTAATGGTGTTTGACTAGGTGTTCCTTTGCAAAAATGTGAAGAAAACACACTTTAAGCCACTATTGAGCACAATATATATATAGAGAGAGAGTGAGAATTCTAGAGAGAGAGATTTTGTCTCTAAAAATCTAAACCTCTGGAAAGGGGGAGGAGCCTCCCCTTATATAGAGCAATGCAATGCAAAGCTTGCTTGACAAGCTTGAAATGGCCTCCATCCCTCCATACACGTGTATGGAGGATGGCTCAGTGAAAAATAGCTGGCTCAAAAGATCTAAAATAATATCTGCTGAAACAAGGTGTCCTGCCGGCCATCAGTGGTGGCCGACAGTGCCTCATTGATGGCCGACAGGACTTATCAATGGTCAGCAGGGCCAAATCCATGGTCGGCAGGGCCAAATCCATGGTCCAAAAATGAAACAGAATGGAAATAGGGTTTGGAAAGAGTAAACCTGGCTTGCCATCACGAAAGTTGAGAGCTCAGCGAGCAATCAAACTTATAATTGGATGTACCTGCAAGCACATCCAAGTCTTGATGACGGTCAAAAATGGGGTGTCTACACTTACCCACCGGTGCAAATGCCTCCTGGTAATCTACTCTATAAGTTTGAGTGAAGCCCTTAGCAACCAGTCTTACTTTGTACTATTCTATGGAAGCATCGGCTTTGTGTTTTATAGTGTACACCCACTTACACCCAACTGAATTTTTGCCTCTATGTAACTCCACTAACTCCTAAATGCCATTCTTGAGAAGAGATCATATCTCCTCCATCATAGCATGTTTCCATTCAGGAATGGAGAAAGCATCCTGAAAATTGGTAGGTAGATTCACAAAAGAAATCTTAGACAGAAAGGCTTTGTTTGAGGAAGACAGATTAGAATAAGAGACATTATTAGTAATCGGATGCTGAGTACATGACCTAACACCCTTTCTATTAGCAATGGGAACATCAAGATCTGAAAACTTAGAAATAGAAGCATTAGGATTAGAATTACCTAGGTTTTCAAGAGAGAATGATGACTCTGGACACTCATCTGGAGAAGAAGTTGGCAGTAGAGGAAGGAAAGTAGTCTCTTGTATCTAATTGACTTTTTGTTTATCCTTGTCCCTGACATAAACTTTGCCTAGTTCCTTTTCCACAACAACTGCTGAGCCATCATCCATAATGTGTTCAACCACAGGTGGTAGTGGAACAATCTCTTCACACCAAGGCTCCCCCTAAAGGGAAGACTGTGACACTGGGAATGGAAGAAAGTAAGACTGAGACTCAAAGACGGTGATATCCATGGAGACAAACCATTTGCAAGTGAGAGGACAATAACACTTATAACCCCTTTGGGTTTCAGAATAACCCAGAAAAATACACTTAAGAGACCTAGGATCCAATTTATCATGAGTGGGTGAATGATTATGGACAAAGCAAACACATCCAAAGGTCTTAGGAGAAATAGAGAACCCGAAAAGGGTAGAGCCGAACCAAACTTGAAGAGGAGTTTGTTTGTGAAGGACTTGGGTAGCAAGACGATTAATAAAATAAGCGGCAATGAAAACCGCTTCCCCCCAACAAGATTGAGGAACCCGCATCTCAAAGCATAAACAACGGGCCATAGCAAGGAAATGGCAATTTTTTTTGTTCTGCAACACCTTTTTGTTGAGAGGTATTAGTGACTGAAGTTTGGTGAATAATGCCATGAATGAAGAAATAATTGGCAAGACCAGAGTCGATATATTCCCCCCCCCCCCCAAAACAAATTATCAAAACGTAGAATTTGGACAACCGCCCCAAACTGAGTACAAACCATTTTATGGAAGTTTTAAAACACCAAAAACACCTCACTCTTATATTCATCAGATATACCCAAGTGACCTTGGAACAGTCATCAATGAAAGTAACAAATCATTTTTATCCTTTTAAAGACACAAAACGAGATGGACCCTATACATCAAAATGAATCAAAGAAAATGGAACTGAACTTTTATTAATAGACGGAGCAAAAAAGGCTCGGTGTTATTTTCCAAGTTGTTATTTTTCGCAAAAACAAAAGGAAATAAATGCTTAAGTAATAAAAATGAAGGATGTCCTAAGCGATGATGCCACATCCAAATGTCTTCCTTGGTGGATGGTAACTGGATAGATAAATGAGCTAGCTTGTCTGTCTGATCCAAAATGTAGAGACCATGTTCCTCTCTACCACTGTCAATTCTCTTCCTCATGATAAGGTCCTGATACAAATAATGATCAGGAAAAAAACATCACACTACAATATAAATTACGAGTAATATGACTCAAAGATAAAAGATTAACACTAAAATTAGAAACATGGAGTAAAGAGGACAAAGGAAGGGAAGAGGTGGCATGAATTAAACATTTCCCTGACATAGACGAAATAGTTCCATCAGCAATACGCACTTTTTCCTGACCTGAGGAAGGGTTATACTCTGAGAATAAATTAGAGGAGCTAGACATATGGTCGGAAGCACCAAAATCAATAATCCATGGTACAGTCATATGAGATAGCAATGCACATGGGGAATAAGCCAAGTTACCTGAATTGGCAAAGGAAGAAAAGGCAGCACCTGCAGTAGATGTGGAGGCTCGACGGTGTAGCAAGTGGTGAAAAGCAATCTCAAAATCTGAGGCAGATAATCCCAAAACATCAGCAACAGGGGAGACAGCTAGAGATAAAGATGGTGTGGTTCAACAGTGTCTGAAAGATGTGTCTAAGCATTGGCCCCTCGGCCTCTAAACTGACCAGACCTACCCCCTCAAGTACCAGGACGATCTCCTCAACCACCAAAGGGAGTCCCATGCAGCTTCCAACAAGTCTCTCATGTGTGTCAAGGTCTACATTAGTAGTCACAGAAAAGATTATCCTTTTCAAAAGAAGGGCGAGAACCACGAGTATCACAAGGGGGCGCAAAAACCAAGGCCGAGCGATCAGTAGTAGCCGAAGGAAGTATCGTAAAGTGGTGACTCTTCTCATTCTGCACAAAAGCAAAAACTTTGTAGAAAGAATGAAGCACATCGATGCCAAGTACTCTGCTCCGAACCGGATCATACTCCACATTTAGGCCTTCCAAGAACTTGAAGACCCGCTCTTGCGCCATAAAGTTTCGGTAACCAGCAGAATCAATGGGACAGACAGGCTTATCATCCTGAAGATGATCAAGCCGCTTCCACCCATTGCTAAGGAAGGTAAAATACTAGAGGATAGTCATCTCACCTTGTACCAACCTTTCAATGGAGCAACGTAACTCAAAAGCCTGTGAGAAGTTCCCCTTCCTGGAGTAAATAGTAGCTACAACCTCCCAAATATCTTGGGCAGTGTCTATAGACAAGTAGCCCCCTCCAATCTCAGGTATCATAGAATGTATCAACCAACCCATGATTAGGGAATTGGTGATCTCTCACTGGTCATAACTATGATCTGTGGTACTGGATGCCTGTATCTTTCCATCAACATACCCTATCTTCCCTCTGCTCTTCAAAAAAATAGTCAGACTTTGCGACCAAGCTAGATAATTTTGACCATTGAATAGAGAGGTGGTGATCTTAAGGCTAGGGTTGAGGTTATAAGTCTTAGTAAGAGGTATAATGAAACTCTTGCTCTTTGGTGGCTGAGAGGTAGTGGACTCACTAAGGGAATCTGTCACGGATACTCTATTATTCAACTCTCAAACATAATGTCAATCACAAATTCGAAAGATAATAGTGGACGGAAAGACACAACTACCACGATGAAAGCATAAAGAATTAAGAACTCATGTATTTTTTTTTTCCACTGCATTTTTTTCCTTTTTTTTTTTGTTTTCCTATTTTTTTTCTTTATTTTTTTTTTTGTATTTTAGGTTGAAAACATTACAGGAGAGAGACAGAGACTTTCCAACAGGAGCCCTGGATGCAAGAGAGCCAGCCAACACAGGCCTAGAGGGCCAAAAGGGCTGCCGACTCACCCTAATAGGGTGTCGGGTAGCCCAGAGGACTGTCGAGGCCTAGGCAAGGGATTTTGGGAGGCCTGGTCTGGGCTGGGTTGACTGTCGATGTGAGAGGGTGAAGAAGAGAGGTTGTCGAAGAAACGAAGAGAGGCTTTAGTGTGTCGGAAGAATGTGGTTGGGTAGCTAGGGTCTGAGTGGCTTTGATACCATGAAGATTTTAGAGAAGAGAAAGAGTTAGAGAATGAGTAAAAGCTCATCCCCTTTTTATATTAAGAATAAAGCATAATTACAAGAGCGTCACAAGGCATGAATTATGGGTCAGCTCATTACAACCCATTACATCAAATCAGAATAAAATATGTGAATATTATTTCCTATTCTAATAATAAAATTTCCTATTCTAATATTTATAGCTCGTGAAGCATCCCAAAAATATTGTTATATGAGTAACCTGGTGTTTACATGGTACGGGTATGGGTACCGAGTACGCAAAATACTTTGGGCACATCATGGGTATGTATTAGGTACAACATGGGTGCGTTTCGAGTACGATGGGTATGTGTAGACACCCCATTTTTGACCGTCCTCAAGACTTGGATGTCACCGCTTGAACAATCGGTGATCATCCATGTTCGTGTTTGTTTTGAGTTCCCGGAGGTCTTGGCTACGCGCCTTGCCTCAGGATCTCTCAACTTGCTTGTTCTGTGCTTGGTTTTACCCCAAGGACTTGTTTGTTTTTGCACCTAAGGGTAGAGAGTAGCTTGCTAGCTACCCCTGATACCCACCGGCCATGGCTTGAGGCCACCGGCCGTGTTTTGAGGCTACCGGCCATTGGTGAAATAGTCAATTGGCCGATCGGCACTTTGTGTGGCCGGCCGACCACCTGTTTGGCCGATGGCTTCCTTTTCTAGCCGGTACCACCTTTTTGCCTTTTTCAGGCATGGTGCATGCCAGCTGTGCCAGCTGGAATGCACAAACCCTGCCCCCGTGCACACCTGTGGCTGTTTTGCCTCTTTTGCACCTTTTTGGTCTAGCTTCTTGAGGAAGCTTGGGCCTTTGTCTTAGCTTCCTCAAGAAGCTTGGACACCTGTCCCAGCTTCCTAAGGAAGCCTTGGCCCCTTTGCCTTGGCTTCTTTAGGAAGACTTGACCCTTTTTGAATAGCTTCCCTTGGAAGCTTAGTCTTTGCATTGTCTATATAAGAGCCCCAACCCTCTCCTTTGTGAGGTTCAGCAAAAAAACCAGAGAAAAATACATATATATATCTGATATACACTTTCTCTCTCTATATCTCCCTCTCTCTCTCTTCATTTGTGTGGGTTTGAGAGCCTAAAGGTGTGTTTTCTTCTTAGTTTTGCACCAAGACACATACCATTACACCATACTTCGACTTGGGAGGTCTTGAGGGTTTATTCTTGAGGTTTTGAGCTGGTTTTGATCAGAAGAGGGCGGCTGGACTTGCTGTTCTTGAGGTGTTCTTCAAGGGTAACACTTTTGCTTTAGATTCCCCAATCTTACATTAGCTTTTGCCCTATCTTGCTTACTGATTTAGACTTTGTGTATAACTAAAACAAGTCTTTTATTTTCATGCTTAAGATACTTCATTAAGGTTGTTTTGTTGTTTGGGGTCGACCTCCCCCTCTTAGGTCTTGTTTGGCTCTTTTTGTGCTCTCTTTGTTAAGCTTTGAATACTATTGTGCTTTGGCCTTCTCACCACTGAAATCCAGTGGATTTTCAATGGTGATGAAGAGGGTCTGAGGTCTTGCATAGGGGAGGGACACCCCTCTCCCTTTGTCTCTCTTTTGTTTGCATTTTTGGCTCATAAGGGTAGCATGTATGCCTAGCTTTGTTTGGCTTCATTTCAGAAGTTATTTGGTGTTTATTTAGCATGTTTTACCTCTGTCCCATGTCGGTTTGTTGACCTCTTGCATGCATAATACACTTGCCTTGTATTCCTTCATTTTGCCTAGAAATACATCTTGACTTTGGACCATCATGTTTGCATGCTTTGGCTTAGCTTTGTGAAGTTTTTGGTCATGTTCTAACATGCTTAAGGTCTGTCTTGAGTCTTTGGAGCCATGCTTGCCATGCTTTATATAGCCTCTTTGTATTCTAACTTGTTGGCTTCGGGTGTGTGAGTTGTTAGCATGCCTCATTTGGTCTATTTCAGTGATTTGGAATCATTTGTCATGCCATTCCAGTTCATGTTTTATGCCTACATGCTTGCATTTGTTACCCTTTTAATGCCTTGAAGAGTTGTGGTCTTATGCTCCATGTTTGGGCTTGTGTGCATGCCCCTTTGTTTAAGTCATTTGGGCTGCCATATCAGTGGGTTTGGGGGCATATTTTGATGCATAAAATCCCTGTTTTGGGTTGCTTAGCTCATACCATGTTTGCTTGGGGTAGGTGTTGAGCAATGCTCTCTTTTGTGACCTTGAATACCTTCTATTTTGCATCCATTCCCTAGCATATCTTGGTGTCATCTTTTGCATACTTCTCAGAGTTTAACATGAGTGTTTAATTTTCAAACCTATTGCCCTTAAGTATGCTTAGAGTTATCCCCTTTCATGCTTAGGTGATAGGCCATGGTATGTGTATGCTTGCATGCATAAGTTGTGCTTTTTTTTGACTCTTTTGACCACTGTTTTAGGGTGGGCTGAGGCCTTCTCATTTCAGTATGAGCCCATCCTTGCACACTTTGCATGTTTGACATGTTACATTGCATTGGTTGCATGCTTACATTGCATCATGTTCGCATGTTTACACGTTACTTAGCTGAATTGCATTATATAGTCTTGTTGTATGCTTGACATGTTCATATTGCATTAGTGTAGCCTTGCATGAGTTGCATCAATTTGCATTGTATATGGCATACATGCATTACATCGCTTAGTTTGGGGTGTCAAACCAAGCATGAGGGGAGAGGTGTGTTCGTACCCGAAGTAACGAAACACGTCTCAACCCTCGGTCGCCAATACCCTTGATCTCAACATGATAGGGTGTTAGCACTCATTTGTTTGTTGCACGCATCTACATTAAGTTGCTAACTTGGCTTCTTAGGCCATCATGCCTCGAATTGCGTAGTTGATGGCCCGAGGGTCAAGGGCCATGCTCCCTTGAGTCCATTGCATGACAGGGAGTGTGGCCATGCTCACATTTGCTTAAAAATTCCATGCCATACACTGCTTGCCCTCTACTACTGTCAACTGCAGGATTCTGCAGGAAGCAATGGCCGGCTGGCCACCTACAGTGCCGACCGACCATCAGTGGCTGGCCGGTGGCACAAAAGTTAGCCGATAATCCCATTACCATGGCTGGTGAACTTTAGTTTTGGCCGGTGACATCCCAGAGCACTCAGAGGATGATCCAAAAGAGGTCTAGAGACTTTCAGAATTTTCAGAGGAGCAAGGCAGTGAAAACAGAGGCAACAGTGCTATGGCAGCGAGTTTCCGGGCGAGACGAGTCAAGCATGCATCATTCACACATTCTGAGGCAGGGCTGCGGCCACCTTTCTTCTACATTTAATTTGTTAATTAGTTAAGAATTCTGTAATAATTAATTTAGCGGTATTCATTTGGTTGTGTAATATTTATTCAGACCCTCCGAGTGAGGGCAATTGTGTAATAAGTGTGCGTGAGTGTGTGCATGTCTCCCAACCCTATGTCTTTCTTCCCTTTTATTTACTAGCTTTCGTTGGTTAGTCTATGGCATGTTTCAATTAGCATATAGTATGATAGCATGTTTGTATCCATTCATTCGTTTTGCATACACTAGGCTCGGCCTATCATTCTAACTGCATTTGTATTTCAAATCCAAATTGAATACGTGCTAAGTGTAGCATTTCACATGTCATTGTAGATTAGCCGAACCTATCTTAGTTGCATTTCGCATGTGTTGCATTAGCCATCTTAACATGAACTAGGATCATGCATGATTACTAACTAGTTCATTGTTTTGGCACGGAGTACTAGGTGAACATTTATGCTTTAGCATCTCGCATGTGTGTGAATGTTAACATAATAGCATGCTTACCATGAGGCTATGTGCTTATGTGATATACCTGTCTGAATGCCTGTGGGTGAAGGTTGGATTGCTTGAATTGGGACAATTCATTGAAATCTGTATTTTAGCCTACTTGCGAGTAGCAAACTTCAAACCATTTTCCAAACAAACGGATATACAATGCTTTGTTCCAAATTAGGCGATCTAGTCTATACTTGTTTTGCTATGTGCATCACATAGTAAATCTAGGCTAATAATCGGAATGAGTACGCATAATGTTTTCAAAACAAGATATCATGGTTAGTAGAGGCCGATCTTCGGATCGGGCGAGCGGGGGTGCTCATAGCTGACCTTCCCCAATCGTACCCAAGTTCCCGAGCCGAGGCAACTTTGGTGATGATGGACACGTGGCCTTAGGCAAACGAGTCAGGGTTTCCTAAATTTCCCCATAAAAAATATTTAGGTGGCGACTCTGTATCTGGCAAAGCAGTCCACGTTTGGCATTTCTTTCTAAATATCTGTTTTCCAAAACGATTTACCGGATTTGGATTCTTTGGTTCAGATTAATAACCGTGACAATTTGAGAGTCCTGAACTGTAGTGAACCCAATATGAGCAGAACGGGACTCGTCCTCCTAGGGCGTTCGGGGACATCTACAGTATGTTTTAGGTACTTCTGTGGGTACATTAGGGCATAAATATAATTTTGTTTAAATATAGGGGGTATTCCTATTTTTAAAAGCTTAAAAAATATAAAGGTATTTCATAAAATTATCAAAAATATAAATAAATAAATGTACTTAAAGAGTTCTTTAATTCTTTTTTAGACCATAATGAAAATACTTCATTATTTTTTTATATAACATGTACTACTACAAATTATAAAAATATATTTTTTTTATGAGCATATCGTAACCAACTGAACCTATATCCTACATTTTTTTAGGCTTTTTCATATTGGTATATTTGTAATACATATCCGTACTTGCACTTGTGCTTCCTAGTTTATAATACACTTGATTGCTTTCAATTTCCATGATAATACGTAGACAAAGTAAGCGAATCATTCTTTCTCATTGGAAAGATGCAAATTATACACACAAAATTGGAATGAATTGAGCTGAAATTTGCTTAAACTTTCGGAGATATCATAAGTTAGGAAGCACCAACTTGTTCACTTGGAAAGAAATCATTATAGAGGGAAAAGCTTGTTCTTTGGGGGTGGGGGGAACCTCTGATTCAAGGGGAAAATTTAATTTATGCTCAAACAGCTCATTAAAGATTATAAAAACAATAATATAGACCATGAGGATTGCATCTTATGATGATTACGTCCAAGAGGTTTATCAAAAAACGAACAATAGGCTTTGGGACCACTTTGTCCATTAAAACTGTGTTACTTCGCAACACTCACTTCACATTGAGTAATACTTGCTGTAGATTTTTTTTTTTTTCATACACATCTTGTTGTCTTTGTTGTTTGCAACTGTTACATAAATGTTCTATCTACTTTGCGATTAGAATGACGCAATTATTCAGTTTCTTAATATGTTATTTCAGTCACATGATGTTACAAAGAAACCACATTGATCCAATCTTTCACCAGACCAAAGTTTGTTCTAAGATATATTGCATCTCATTACTAGAATTGTGCATGTAAAACCACTTGAGCAATATCAAAAAAATATCACATACATGGTTGGCCAAATCATAATGACCAAGTATCCTTACATGCTTTACCTCTTGATGAAGCTTGCAGCAGCAAAAACAATGTATGTGTAAGAACGTTAGCAAGGCAATTAAATTCGTTTTGTAGATTCATCTGTAATTCTTCAACTCCTCATGGTCATCAACAACCATCTACTTAACTGCTCATTTATAGACCGCTATTGCCTCCAATCCAGCTGACTCCAGGCATCTTCCCCATACCTCCTTTCATAGCCTCTCTCAACTTCCTTGCATCATCCCACCTACCATCACTGGCATATATGTTAGAAAGCATAACTTTGTACGTACATTTCATTGGTTTATGCTCAAAGAGCTGTTGAGCTACTTTTTCTGCCAACTCAAAATTTCCAAGAGCATCACAGCATGATAGTAGTGCTCCCCAAATGCCCGAATCCACTGGTTCTGGCAAAGACTGGACAAGTTCATAAGCCTTTTCCAACTCTCCAGCCATCCCAAGAAGCTTTACCATGTGGACATAATGCTCTGTTTTAGCTTCCATGCCAAATTCATCGGTCATTTTTCTGAAATATTCTTGACCATCTCTGACAAGACCAGCATGGCAACAAGCACAAAGGAGAGCAGAAAAAGTAGATTCATCTGGTTCACATCCTTTTTCTAGCATCTCCTTGAAAATAACGAAGGCATCGGAAGCAAGTCCATGTAAACCAAGAGCGGAAATTAATGAATTATAAGAAATGGTATTCCTTTCCAGCGTTCTTTCAAAAACCTGAATCCCCAAACGCAAGAAGCCACATTTTGAATACATGTCAATGAGAGCAGAAGATACCATGACTTCTGACTCAAATCCATGCCGAAGAACGTAACTGTGTATTTCACTGCCAGGCCCCACAATTGCTAATTGAGCAATAGCTGCTAGTAAACTAGCGATCAATATTGGATCTGCCTTTTTACCTTCCATATTCATTTTCTTGAAAAAAATCAAGGCCTTTTCCGAGTCTCCAAACTGAGAAAACCCAGTAATTAGAGCAGACCAAGTTACCAGGTCAGGCTCTAATAAACTATCAAAAACTTTAAGCGCCGAATTCAAACACTTGCATCTTGAGTACATGCTCACAAGTACACTGACAATATGAGTATTAGAATCAAAACCATTTTTTAAACAAAAACCATGAATCCCTTGACCAATTTCCAGCAAGCTGGGATCCGCTAAACTCGAGATCAACCCAACCAGAGTGTAGCCATCTGGCTGTCTCCCCATGCTTTGCATCCTACTGAACAATAGTAGCCCCTTATCCCAATACCCACAACACCCATAACCAAAAATCATTGAGTTCCACAAAACTAAATCTGGCTCAAGTATCCCGTTGAAGATTATACTTGCTTCACTAACAGGGCCTAGTTTCGAATAAGCCGTTACAAGTGAACTACTAACAATGGAGTCCCATCCTAAACCTGAAACTACCACTCCTCCGTGTACTAGTCTCAGTCTTTGTAAATCAAAATTTTCAGAACATGCACGTAAAATGCAAGCGAATGTAAAGTTATCGGGCTTTGTTTCTGAGCTAAGCATGTGCTTGAAAAGGTGAAAAGCGTCAATAAACTTATGGGATTGGGCATAAGCTCTGATTATGGAATTCCAGAGGTAGACACTTCGGTGGGGCGTTTCGTCAAACAAGTTACGGGCGGAGAAAAGGTCGTCATTGATGGCATAGAATCTGATGATTCTAGTGGCATAGAATGGGTCATTTGAGAGATGGGTTTTGATGATCAAAGCATGCAAGTGTTTGGTTTTAGATAGAGTTTGATGAAGCTTGGAGAGTTCGAAGAGAAGTGAACGGAATTGAATGAACATATGTATCAGATAACCAACTACCTAACTTACCGTGTATGGTATTTGCTACTGAATATGCTAAAGACGGAAACTTCAACAGAGAATGGAGAAATAAAGATGTGAAAAGAAGAATGCGAGCCTGTTATTTTGGAGGAATAAGAGAATATAGATTACATGTATATATAAAAAAAAGATTTTGAAATGGCCATTTAGTCATTTCATCAAACAGTATATGCACATGCAACTCTCTATATATAAGAGAATTTTTTTTTAGATAGGAGAGAGAGAGAGAGCACGTAATATGCATAGCTCTACTTTCCACATTATTTCCAGAGCCAAAAAAACCGAATACATACCTTGGGAGCGTGGTAAGAAAATTTTGAAATAAAATAGATTGAAATAAAAAGTAAGATAAAATAGCATATTAAATTTATAATTATTTTACTTTACTCTCACAAATACTATATTTAATTATACAAAAATTCAATCATTTTCACAAATATAAAAATTTTAACCTATTAAAATAGTCAAAAATTAAAATAATCTACTAAAATAACAACTTCCTAAATATCCTTTTTTTTTAAGTGCTACATGCACATGAGAGGATAAACTATGTGTGTATATATATATATATATATATACTATTAAAGGAGAAAATAACATAAATTTATATTTTTTAAATCATAATTAAAAATAATATTATAACTAAACATAATATAAAGTATAATTAAAAAAATTAATTATAATTAAATAAGAAAATAATATAATTAGAAATACATATGGTGTATCCCTTTCAAGGGTGTATATATTAGAATTTCCCTTGTTTTTCGCTTGATCATTGGGGTGTTTGGTAGAGATTATACAAGTAACTTATAACTTAATTTAATTTAGAAACTTGTGCTAGATTATTTAGTACAACTTTTTCTTATAGTTTATTAGACAGAACTAACTTAAATAAATTATAAAAAAAAATTAAATTTTCGAAAGTTAAAGGAAGAGTTCTTTTAACTTTTACTCTTCGATTTACCAGTTTTGAATTTAAAATAATTTCCACTAAAGTTGTCATGGGAAAAAATGTTATAAAAGTAAAATTTTATCTAGTTTTTAGTTTAAAATTTGACTTGTTATATAGTGATAAAATTTTGATATTTAAGAGACCTTCTGTGTTATGATCCGAGCTCGCCCCTAGAGGTTTGAATCATAACTGGTCAGTAATGATGAGATTACCTACAGTCTTAGAAATAAATCAAATCATATTTAATTATATGGGGTCAGAAGCAAAAGCAGAAATATAAAATTTGTCCAATGAACTTATGCATAAATGGCATGAACAAAAAACTTCATATATATATATAGGAAAATGTTTGGTAGCTCAAATTTTTGTGGCTCAAATGGCTCAAATTTGTCAAAACAACGTCGTTTTACACTCAAAATCTGTCAAAACGACGTCGTTTTGACAGATTTGAGCCATTTGAGCCACAAAAATTTGAGCTACCTAGCATTGTCGTATATATATTTTTTGTGCGTGGAAAATTTGTGAGTTCAGGCAATTTCCCTTTTAAGACTTACATGAACACACATTAATAGAGGAACAAAATCATGTGGTATACTGATAGAGAATTTATTAGTTATGAAATTTTCGAAAGTTAAAGGAAGAGTCTTTTAACTTTTACTTTTCCATTTATCAGTTTTGAATTTAAAATAATTTCCACTAAAGTTGTCATGGGAAAAAATGTTATAAAAGTAAAATTTTATCTAGTTTTTAGTTTAAAATTTGACTTGTTATATAGTGATAAAATTTTGATATTTAAGAGACCTTCTGTGTTATGATCCGAGCTCGCTCCTAGAGGTTTGAATCATAACTGGTCAGTAATGATGAGATTACCTACAGTCTTAGAAATAAATCAAATCATATTTAATTATATGGGGTCAGAAGCAAAAGCAGAAATATAAAATTTGTCCAATGAACTTATGCATAAATGGCATGAACAAAAAACTTCATATATATATATATATATATATAACTCACATCTATAGATACATGAAAAGATATCATATGTCCAAGACCATTCAAATATCATAGTTATACAAGACCCAGAACTTGTTGTACCAATAGTGTAATTAAATACAAATAGATTCATAAATAATTCAGATAGCAGAACATGGAACATGCTAAACATACCAATTGGACAGAATTACATAATAAACTAAAATGACAAAAAGAAAGAAAATCGAAGCCTGCACTAAACAGTTTCTTAAAACAAATTCGCCGTCTCACCGGTTAGGTGCTAGAGGTTTGTTTGACTTCTGTCTTCCAAAATACGACGGTTGAACCAGCTATAGCAAAGCACCTATTGCATAGCTTCGGCGAACATAACAAAAGCAGCACACTCTCACTAAGAAGAATAAAAAGCTGGAGGAAAACTTTTTGGTTTCCAAAGAAAGCAAATTTTCTAGTGGCAAGAATGAAAGAGAAGGATCTCATTTTATACACATGGAGGGAGAGAAGAAAAGGCTCCAGCCATCGAGGCCCATCACAAATGCAAAAATCAATTATGTATTAACTGGAAAAACTGATGGATTATAAAATCCATCATAAATAGAGGAGTTACCAACTATTATATACATATGTAATGTGTATAATTCTGCAGCCCACATCTCTGGCTTGGCTTAAAAAGATTAAGATGGGTGGGCTAAGCCGAACCCGCACACTCAATCTAGTCCAGCAAGCCTTAAGCCCCAAAACCAAGCCCAAACCAAAAATCCAAGATCCACAACCCATAGATCACGGACTCGGACCCGGCCCGGTCCGAGCAGGCAGGCGATGTGTGGCAATTTTTTCATAACCAACTTGGACTAAAGTCTTAGCCCAGGTCCATCTTTGAAGCATCCATAACTCCATTTTTTTCGAAAATTTGGAAGCCCCAAGGGGCTTACACCCTTTGGCAAAAGATGAGATTTAAATACCCATGCTCTCCTCTACAATCAATGTGGGACAGAAGGTTTTACACTTTTCCCAACACCTCTTTCATGAGGCCAACTTAATGAGTTAATTTCTCGTTCAAATCTTAATGGTTTTTTGTCATTCTTTTTGTAGTGTAAATATTTCACTACAAAGATTCTAAACCCACTTTAATCCACCTCAATGAAGGATTAAAACCTACTTTAATTTCGCATTTAAGTCACTGAAAATCCATTATTTTCCAACAATCCCCCACATGAATAAAAATTAACAGAATAACAACAAACGGACAACGCTTAACAACAAAGACTCAGAGAGAGAGAGAGAGTGTAACGAAATAAGTCCTGCATCGGAAAAGGTTGCTTTTGGCTTTGAACTCTTCCTAGTAAAGTCTATCAGATTTACTAGTTATCCAGTGAACACGAAATCTTGAACTCTGCTGCCATTTATGTAAACCAAGATAACAGACCTCACACAAGAATTACTCCAACCATCGTTATGTTCTCACTGTTGTGTCCGGTTTGGCCCTAGAACACTAGCTTAGTTTAGTGAGTGGTTTAAAGAATTCATCCCTGTCAATTCTTATAGAAACGGCCCCACTTCACACTCACATAGGTGACTCTACTTGAGTATCTTGCTATACTCAGCTCAACACACTAGAGTCATTAAACGCTCACCTTAACCTCTATACTTGCAGGTATCACTGATAAAAGGGAATGGCTAGAGGTTTTACCTCTTCAGTGACATATCACCGTTACACGCAATCAGGTTGTCCCGTTGAACCTTAATCTCAGGATCTCCAATCAATTAGGTTGGGTTTCCATTCTGATAACACCTTATACTAAAGGCTTTAAACCCATTCCTTCTGATGACTTCTCTAATAACACTCGATCTAACCCTTTGGTTAGCGGATCTACAATGTTGTCCTTGGACTTTACATAGACTAAAGTTGCAACTCCATTCGAGAGTAGTTGTCATATGAAATTATGTCTACGACGAATGTGTCTAGACTTTCCATTATACATAGTACTCTATGCCCATCTAATAGTCGATTGGCTGTCACAATGAATACATATGGCCGGCACATGTTTTAACCAACATTGAATATCTTCAACGAAATAGCAAAGTCATTTTACCTCTTCTGTTGCTTTATCTAACGCTGTAAACTCCGATTCCATCGTTGATCGTGAGATATACGTCTTCTTGGAAGATTTCCAAGACACGACTGCCCCTTCAAAGGTGAACACATAACCACTAGTAGATTTTGAATCCCTAACATCAAATATCCAATTCGCATTGCTATAGCCTTCTATTAATGTTGGATATCTATTGTAATACAGCCCATAATCTCGGGTGAAACGGAGATACCTTAACACCCGAATGATACCCTTCTAGTGAGTGGCATCAGGATTGCTTGTTTAACTACTAAGCCTACTAACAGAGTAGGCTAACTCATAAAATACATCAAACTCCCAATGACTCGAGAATATTCTAGCTGAGAGACACTCTCACCATTATTCTTGGTCAAGTGTAGACTCAAGTCTACCGGTGTCCTAGACACACTTGTATCTGATTTACCAAAATTTTCAAGTATTTTCTCAACATAGTGAGATTGAGAAAGTACAATACCATCAAATGTTCTGGTAATCTTAACACCCAGAATTACATCTGCAAGGTTCATATCTTTCATGCAAAACTTAGAGTTTAACAATCCTTGGTAGTTTTAATCATCTCATCATTACTACCAACGATGGGTATGTCATCAACGTATAGACACAAAATGACATAACCTCTGTCAGTGTCTTTGACATATATACATTTGTCACATCATTGATTTTGAACCCATTTGACAACGTAGCGTTGTCAAACTTCTCATTCCATTACTTGGGAGTTTGCTGCAAACTATACAATGATTTGACAATTACAAACTTTTTTATTTTATCCTGAAACTAAAAATCCCTCGAGTTGCTCTATGTAGATTTCTTCATTTAAATCTCCATTTAAGAAAACTGTCTTTACATCCATCTAATGTATCTCCAAACCACGTAAAGTTGTTATCGCAATCACCAAGCGAATGGATGTAATCCTTGTCACAGGTGAATACGTATCAAAGTAATCCAGGCCTTCTCATTGCCTGTATCCTTTGATAACTAGTCTAGCTTTATACTTATCAATTGATCTATCTGCTTTCATCTTTCTTCTAAAAATCCATTTACTCCCCAAGGCCTTACTGCCTGGGGATAGATCAACCAACTTCCAAGTATGGTTTTATAAGAGGGAGTCAATCTCACTCTTAATTGCTTCTTTCCACAAAGGACTTTCAAGTGAAGTCACAGCTTCATGGAAAGTTCGAGGTTCTTCCTCTAAT